CTCCCGGGGCTCTGGGGAGGTGCCGATGGGAAAAAGACCCTCCCATGTCCCCCCTGCAGTGTGCTGGGTGCAACACCGGCACCGCTTCCCTCCCCGGCACCCAGCAGCATCCGTGCCTTCACGTCCCCATCTCGTGGGAGCCCCCTGAGACCAGGCTCCTTGGGGGGAGGAGGGCAGGACCCCTCCCAGGGAGCCTTTCCCTGCTCTGACACTGCTGCTCGGTATGCTCTTGGGCACATCACTTCGTCTCCTTCCTGGGCCAGCCGGCAGGGCTGGGGGTTTCTCTGTGCCCGCTGTCACCAGGGGATGTGCTCAGGCCAGGGTGGTATCAGACCCCACCAAGGGAGGGACATTCCTGTGGCAGCGTCTGCATTTTTGGGACATCCAGCACCGAGGATTTACCTGCGCGCCAGATAGCGAGGAAGATGCTGGTCGCACCTCCAGGGAGTGTGGTCCAGGCCCCCACGACGCTGCCGATGGACTCCCTGCACCTCTGCGCTCCTCGAAGCAGACCCCGAACCCCGCTCCAGCTCACCGTGACACCAGCAAGCACCGTGGGTCTGGCTGCAATCACACAGACTTGGCTGAGCCCAAACACCGGCCACGGCATGGCCGAGCTCCCCCCAGCCTCGTCAGCACCTTTGGCTGGGCAAAAGCTCATCTCCAGGGGCTCCTCTCTGGGGTGAGGAGGGGGTCCAAGTCATATTGTCATATTGTCATATCCTTCCCGGGGGAAAATGGGATGGTAGACCCAGCCCCATGGCTTGGGGGAACAAGGGCAGCTGGCAAAACATGGGACTGCCTTTGTGCCACTCTGCCCCAAGGCTGGGGCTGAGACAAGCACCAGGGACAGGGAGTCGGAGCCCCTTTTCCATCTCTCACATTACACCCAGGTTTTCAGAGATTTGGGGCTTATTTCCCTGCAGAGCTGCCTGATGCTCACAGCTAGGGAAATCTTTAGGTGTCCCTGGGGGTTATCACCAGCCCTAGATGCTGCTCTTCTTCCACAGCCCCCCAGCTCCCCTTCCCCACATCGCCAGAAAGGAGCCCTGAGCCCTGAAATATTTCTGGGAGAGGGCAGGGATCGTGGCTGCACATGAACTCTCCTGCACAATTCAGGTTCCAGCCTCGGGGCTATTTTTAGCAGTTCCCTCCGAGATGCTCTTCACTTGCAGTTTTATTTGTGAAATTTAATATACGAGGGAGGGGGAAGGAGCGGGGCTGGATCCTGGTGCATCCCCACTGGCTGGGAGGCTTATCCCAGC